GGCCCTGCACACACTGGCAGCCTCACAACAGGGTAACGGGTCTCAGCTAAATTGCAAGGTAATCAAGACAATGAGTTAACCAGGATCCATGGGCCATGAATCAAGGCCCTGGGGATGTTTGAAGCAAAAAGAAGACTTGGAGGATGATTCTCAAACATTTTGGTCTCAGAGATCCTTTACACTCCAAAAGCTCCTGGGTGGTGGGCACACAATGCAATGTACAGATGATGAATCATAGAATCCCACACGTGGAAACTAACAATCTCATTAACCAATGTTATCCCAATAAATTTAATTAAAAAATCTATGAAGTAAAAATAAAAATTATTGGACCCAAAGAGGTTTTGTTTATTTATCGGCAGATATTTGCCATATAAGAAATTTAAATGGAGAAAAATTTAAATATATACTTACCATAGTTTAAAATGATAATAAACCAATTATATATTAATAGAGAATTATTATAAAAACTAGAGGCCCGGTGCATAGAATTCAAACACTTGGGGGGAAGGGGAGTCCCTCAGCCCAACCTGCACCCTCTCGCAGTCTGGGAGCCCTCGGGGGATGTCCAACTGACGGCTTATGTCTGCTCCACAGGAACCAGGCCTAAGCCATCGGCTGGACATCCCTCTTGCAGTCTAAGACCACTTGCCCCTTACTATCCACCTGCTTGCTGCTCCTTAGCACTGTGGTGGAGGCGGGAGAGGCTCCCGCCATCACTGCTGCACTGGCCAGCCATGAGCCCAGCTTCTAGCTGAGTGGTGCTCCCCCTGTGGGAGCTCACTGACCACCAAACGGAAGCTCCGGTGTTGGGCTTCTGCACCCTGGTGGTCAGTGCATGTCATAGCGATTGGTCATTCCACTGCTCGGTCGATTTGCGTATTAGCCTTTTATTATATAGGATAATGTTGTTATGCGTTATTTTCAAAAGCTAAAGAATTTAGTGAGAAGAGGGGACCTGATATGTGTTTTTGAAAATCTCTAATGAGTAGCTTAACACAAGACAGGTTAATTCTAACAGCTGTTCTTTTGTTCAAACTGTTGTACTAAGCTTTCTTGGTTGAACTACATGAAGAAAATTCATCCTAAAGGAGACATGTAATTAGAAAAGGGAGCAGTATTTTCATAGCCTTAATATTGTCACACTCACATTAAAAGCATTGTTCTGCACTGTAAGAGAGAACAATGCATGGTTTTATAACATACACTGTTCATCTGGAAAGCACTGGATCAGAAGAGGTATGCCAATCTTCCCAAAATTAGCGCACTCATTACCTAATCTCCTCAATCACAGTCTGAGTATCGCCACCAGCAGCATCACAACAGTCTCTACTGGAGCGTTGTCAGGCTCACTCAGATGAGTAGCACCATCAAGTTCTAAAATTGGAAGCTTGAAGTTTATCATGGGTAATGCTTCCTTGCAGTAGCAGGTGTATTTTCCAGAAAATGTCTGCGTGTGCTGAAGACTGAAAAGCCACCTGTGTCACCTGTTGCTGTTTCAGTTAGAGGTGCTCCATGCAGAAAGGGGCCAGCTTCCACGTGCATCCGCCACTCAGCTGCACAAGCAGCTGTCCTCGGACCCGTGGATACTTGGGGACATGCAGCAGACATGCTTTATGTATAGTACTTCTTGTTTAGCCACTCAAAAAGTAAAAAGATGAATATGCAGGGTGGAAATTTTTAAGTATTAATCATTTTTACTGCTACATCAAGAATGCTGAGTGAAATTGGCTTTAAAAAGCCTTTGTCTGATTAGGAAATAGCCTGACGTTGCAGACCTCATACAAGGGCCTGGGCTCCCGCCCAGGCCACGCTGTGCACCACTGTCCGGAGGAAAGCTTGCGTCTCCCTCATGCTGCCAGCCCTCACCTCCAGCAAATTCAGCTTTCATTGAGTTCATTACTTACTGGAGTCCCACCCACATAAGGTTTCTCTTGAATAAAAGGTTGAAAAAATTTTAAATGAAAAATAGATTCAATAATGTAACTAGATAACATCTAAAGTTATCTTCTGGTTTTAAAATAAAATAAAATAAAAATAAAACTAACCCCCAATTAAGTTTAGTCTACAGGCTTAAGACCTAGTCCACAGCTTAACAGGCATCACCTGTATTAATTTTTAAAAAAATATATTTTATTGATTCTTTACAGAGAGGAAGGGAGAGAGATATAGAGTTAGAAACATCAATGAGAGAGAGTCATCCATCAGCAGCCTCCTGCATACCCCCCACTGGAGATGTGCCCGTAACCAAGGCACATGCCCCTGACCGAAATCGAACCCGGGATCCTTCGGTCTGCAGGCTGACGCTCTATCCACTGAGCCAAACCGGTTTTGGCCACCTGTATTAATTTTTAAACTACATCACATAAGATATCCAATAGAAGTCACGAGAATGCCTAATTCCCCTACCACACAATTAAGATCCTAGCTTCTATCCAATTTCAGGTACACATATAACTAAATAAAGGCCTGGTGCATGAAATTTGTGAACTTGGGTGGGGGTGGGAGTCCCTCAGCCTGGCCTGCACTCTCTTGCAGTCCAGGAATCCTTGGTGGATATCTGACTGCTGGCGTTGGCCCGCTCCCCCAGGGCTAAGCCGGCAGTCAGCTATCCTTAGTGCCGCTGCTGTGCTCGCCAGCCATGAGCCCAGGCGAGAGCCTCCGGCTGAGAGACACTCCCTCTGTGGGAGCGCACTGACCATCAGGCAGCAGCTCCTGCGTTGAGCGTGTGCCCCGTGGTGGTCAGTGCGCATCACAGCGACCAGTTGTTTGGCTGTTCAGGTCAGTTTGCATATTAGCCTTTTATTATATAGGATGCTGAGTGGTTAAGAAAAATGGTATCCTAAGTTAATAAATTGGCTTATAGTATAGACATTAAAATGCGGTTTCCACATCTTCTTTTACGTCACCCTTTGGAACATTTCGTCATAAATATTGATATATATATTTTTAGAATCCTTTCCCCCCCCCAAAATGCATATCTAATCAATTCCACTTGCCACTGTCAATTGTCATTATGCTACTAACTGAATCTTCCATCTGGTAGTAGGTAGGAACAAGAAGAGCCAAAACCCTTATTAGCATTATGCTACCTATGTGGTTATTTAACCCCTTTATTTTATATAAACATAAATGAATGGCTATGGGTTTCAGCTATCCATATTAAATATCACCTCAATAACTACGAATAATTACACGAGACCTCAATTGACTTTAGCTGGAATATCAAACCTACATTTTGACTAGCACACACTTCAAGAAAGACATAACAAAGCTGGAGAAAATCTACACAGGCAACAAAACTCATTAAAAGTATGCAACTGATTTGTTAGACAATTAAAAACAAAACACTCAAAGCAATCCACCGCTCCTGGTGTTGTCTAGAGCAACAGAGTGGTGTCTGTTCTGACCTATGATCTTCAAACCAGAGAGAACAGAACTTAGAAGCATTACTCGTAACCTGTGAAAATCTTTAGAGAGTAAAGCCCATAATTCTGGAACAAGAAGGCAATCTCTCGGGGCTCAAAAGAGATGCAGCAGAAACATCACACAGTGTCCTCCTTCCTTAACGGACATGTGGCACGGTGAGTCCTCCTCTCCAGACTGAGGAAGCAGTGCAGGGAGGGACGTGAGGACGGAGGACGGTGCTGCGTGGAAAGCGGGGGCTGGTCCCGGCAGCGGGGCAGAGCGAGCTGGAACGAAATGCCTGAGCAGCACACAGAGCAGCAGGCCAGGCAGAGAGCAGGAGCACCGGGGATGGAGACAGACCTGGAGAGGAAGGCCTCAGGCCATGTCAGGATTTAATGATCACTCGTCTTAGGTCAGTAAGAAGCACCGTACGATTTTTCAGAAGAGGATGACAAAAGCAGCATTTTATTTATTTTTATTTTTTTAAAGATATATTTTATTGATTCTTTACGGAGAGGAATGGAGAGGGATAGAGAGTTAGAAACATCAATGAGAGAGAAACATCGATCAGCTGCCAAGGTACATGCCCTTGATCAGAATTGAACCTGGGACCTTTCAGTCCGCAGGCCAAAGCTCTATCCTCTGAGCCAAACCGGTTTTGGCCAAAAGCAGCATTTTAATAAACTAGTTTGGTTATCCTTTGGTTTTAAAGTTCAAAAGCAGCATTTTAATAAACTAGTTTGGTTATCCTTTGTTTTTAAAGTTCAAATCAACCAGCCTTAAACATAAGATATTTAGGGATTGCCTCACTTTTTCCTTATCTATTTATTTCCCTATTTAGACCTTTAATGGTGCAAATAGAAACCAAAGTGTGACCTATTATTTAAATTATGCTCACAGGCTCAAAATTGAGCAATAAAAGAATATACAACAATTAGAAAGGGAGTAGTTAAGAAACACACCCATATATTTGGTAATGGTAAGCCAAATAAAAATGAAAATACGACTACACATTTTAACTGGAAATCTTACGACATTTACAAAATGTATGTTATATAATATAAGCATCAGGTCTGTCTCCATCCCCGGTGAATCTAAAATGCCACACATCTAAATATTTTATGTCATGGTTACCAAAATTCTACTGTTGTGAAAAATATTATTTATTTGTTGCTAGTTGTAATCTCTCATGTGTAATGTGAAATTAGATGCATACACACAAAAACTGATTCCAGAAAACTCAACATACTTAATTTTAAATAGTACTGGAACCTTACAACTTAATTAAATAGTATAACTGAGAAAATAAAAATTAATGCATGCATTATAAAAATAAAAAATGTTCTAATTGCTACTTATAACTCCAAAAAAATGGAAGCCTTTTGTAACTTTAATTTCTCTTAATATTTGTGTATAATGCTTAACATAAATTACCTTTATCTTTTTGTGACAGATATTTCTTAAAGTAAATTTACATAGAATCTAGACAGTCAAATTCATATCAGTTTCCACAAAACACCCCTCTTAAAAATCTACTGTACAGAAATAGCCCTGAAGGCAGAATCCTAGCAGGGCGTATAAAAAATTCTTACCAATTTTTCATCAACTGTTATGAGCTGTGCGTCTCGAGTCTGGTCCTGTGCCAACCTCCATGTGGAAGCGCTCAATGACCTGCGGTGGAGATTTTAAATTAAAAATGATCCATGCGCTGGGACAAGGGAGGCAGACTAACGTGACAGAGGCAGGCTGCCTGAACAGCACTGTCTGTAAAGGAGGAAGAGAAAGAGAAGAGGTCACCAACGCCTTCTCCTCCCCCATTAGCTGAGTCGCCCTACAAACCAGGAGGTCACAGTCTAATTCCTGGTCAGGACACATGCCTGGGTTGGGGGCTTGATCCCCAATGTGGGGCATCCGGAAGGCAGCCAATCAATGATTCTCTCTTATCATCCATGTTTTTCTCTCTCTCCTTCTCCTTTCCTCTCTGAAATAAATAAAAATATATTTTTTAAAAAGCAGAGGTACTTTATAGGCATTTTTCATAATTTTAAATTAATGTCCAACTAATCATAAAATAAAGCCATTAAATCATTTTCTATAAACAGAAAGCTATTATAAATAAAGACAGAGACAAAATATTCTCATATTTTATCAGTCTATATTTACAAGGTAACGCAATAAATAAAAGATGAAAGATGTTAAATAAAGTAATACTAGCAGAAAAAATTAAATGTCACAATTAAAACCTTTTTTTTTAAGATAGGCTAGATTGCAAAGAGAGCACATATAAGGATTTTTATTATTTAAATAAATATATTCACATAATTTATTTCAGTAAAAAACTGCCTAAGTAAAAAAGCACATACAATATGTGCGTACATATATGAATTTATGTATTTGACAAGGGGGGGGGTCATTTAGATCACTAATCCTTAAATATGGAAACAGCAATTATTTTTAAAAAATCAAATCTCAGATTGTGGGAAAACATTTTCCTCCAATTGTAGATAAAGGTAGCAGCAAGGATCTAGAGTTCATTATGAACACAGCATTTAATTTGTCAGACCTACAAAATACAGCCCAAGGTTAAATTCGAATTAAATGTGAATTATATAGCAAATATCTACTTACTGATTAGCCTGTAAAAAAGTCTCATCAATGAAATGGTAAAGGCAATATTTTTAATAATTTAGAATATAAAAACATTATTAAGCAAGATACAAAACCCAGAAAGTATAAAGGGAAAAAATGGCAGAAGCTACTAAATAAAAACTTCTAAACCATAGGTACTGTAAATGAAGAATAAAACATAATAAGGAGAAAATATTTTCAAAATAAGAATGCATAGGCTCAATGTCCAAAATAGATACAAGAGCTTCTACAAATCAGTAAGTATGGATAATTCTTAGGTTTCAAAAGAGAAAATCAAACAACAAAAAAAGGCAAAGCACCCAATTAAAAGTGGGAAGAATACTTGAACTGACATTTATCCAAAAACCTACAAATAGCCAATAAATTCAGGAAGACATGATCAACAATACTAAGCACTAGGGAAATGCAAATCAAAACCACAGTGAGACACTCCTTCACATATTAGGATGGTTATAAAAAAAAGTGTTGGTGGGATAGCTGAAAAGCTTTGTATGTTACTGGTGGGGACACAAACTCATGCAGTTGCCATGGAAAACAGTATGGCAGTTCTTTAAAAAGTTAAACAGAATTACCATAATATCCAGCAACTCCACTTCTGAGTGTATACCCAAAAGAATTGAAAGCAGCACTCTAACAGATATTTGTGCACCAATTTCATTGCAGCATTATCCACAATAGCCAAAAGCAAACCGCGCCAAAATGTTAGTAATCGTATTGTACTGGGCAATGTATCGTAACACTAGAGAGTTTAGTGTACATGTAGGGATGACTAATCTGCAGTCATTAGTAAATAAATGGTAATTTCACTTCACTATTTAGTTCCCGTTTTTTAGAAACTCAGAAATTGTATTCGCCACTCATTTGTTTTGTTAGCTGGCCTGTTCTCATGGCCAGGTCTCTTATAAACCCTCAGGGCTATGGCTGTTATAATCAATTATCATTATTACAGTGGACAAGCCACTTACGATGTTTACTTTTTCTGTCAAGTTTCCTGTAAGAAAATGATACGGATATCAGAGATCTTATTCTTAACTTGGGTTTTATTATTTACTGGTTGCGTCTATGAGCAAATCACTTAACCTCTCTGCATCTCAGTTTCACTCTTTGTAAATCTGTAAGATGAGAACTTGTTGCTCTGAAGCTTCATCTAGTGATAAGTTTGATTCTAATAAATGGAATTGAGCATAATTCTGGTTTAATAATCCCCTATGGAAATGCTACATAATAATTTCTAAACTCATAATCTGTTTTTCTTTAAAAATCTAAGGAGTTAAAACTTTCAAAAACATATACACCACATTTGTTTACCCAGTCATCTGCTGATGGACATTTGGGTTGTTTCTGCTGAAGGCACTCAGGCACAGGTTTTTGTAACTCATTTGGGCAAATCCCTAAGAACACAATTGCTGGACTGTATGTTCTAATGAACAAAATGAACTAACAAGCAAAACAGAGACAGACTCAGAGAGAGAGAGAGAGCAGGCTGACAGCTGTTGGGGGGGAGGTGGGGGGGTGCAGGGATTGAGCAAAAAAGAAAAAAGGGAGAAAACTCATGGCCATTGATAACAGTATGGTGATTGCTGGGGGAGGGGGAGTGGAGGGAGGTGGAGGAGAGCATGGGGGATAAATGGTGAAAGAGGAGACTTAGCTTGGGGTGATGAACAACAATGCAGTGTACAGATGATGCGCTGTGGAACTGTGTACCTCAAACCTGTATAATTTTGTTAACCAGTGTCACCCTGATACATTCAATAAAGAGGAAGAAAAAGAAGACTGTAGCTTTGTAAGGAACTGACAAACTGTCTTCAAAAGTAGTTGTACCTTTTGCATTCCCACCAGCATGAATAAGACTTACTGGTCAGGCCGACCTGTGGCCCATGAACCAAGAGGTCACTGGCTGGGTTCCCAGATTGTGGGTTCCATACCCGGTATGAGATGTGCAGAAGGTAGCCAATCGATGTTTCTCTCTCTTTGATGTTTCTACCTCTCTACCCACCCTTCCTCAAAAAAAAAAGAAGAAAAAAAATCAATAAAAATATATTTAAATAAAGACAGCTCACTTCACTCTTGCCAGTGTTTGGTGCTGTCACTGTTTGGGATTTCACCTATTTTAATAGGTGTGTAGTGGCATCAGTGTTGTTTTAATTTCCAGTTCCTAGATGACATATGTTGAGGTATCTTTTCATATGCTTATTTGCCATCCACATATCGTCTTTGGTGAGATGTTTGTTCAGACCTTCTGCCTATTTTTTAATTAAGTGACCTGTTTTCTTATTGTTGAATTTTAAGAGTTCTTTGCATAGTGTGAAGCGATACCTTTATCAGAAATATGTTGGGAAAAACATTCTCTCTGCAGGTCTTTTCACTTTCTTTAAGTGCCTTTCACTGAGGAGAAATTTATAGTTTCAACCAAGTCCAGCTCACCTAATTTTTTCTTTCATGGATTGTGCATTTGGTGTTGTAGCTAAAAACTCAGCAGCAAATCAAAGTCACCTTGTGTGTTCTCTTACATTGTCTTCCAGAGTCTGGTCGTGTTGTTCCTTACATCTAGGCCTAGGATCCACTTTTAGTTTATTTCTGTGGAGGCGCGAGGCCAGTGTGTAGACTGGTTTTGGCATGAGGCTAAGTCCCAGTTCCACTCAGTATCTCTCCCCCCCTGGAATGCCTGTGCTCCTTTTCCAGACATCAGTTGACTGTATTTAAGAGTCTCTTTCTGGGCTACCAATTCTGCCCACTGACCTGTGTTCCTTCCCTCATCCCACTGAATCACTGTGGCTCTGCACTGAACACTGAAGTTAGTGCCATCCCTCTCTGCTGTTCTTCTTCACTATGACATGCCATATTTCGTATCATTTGAAGTTCTATATAAACCTAGAATAAGTTTCTTAATATCTACAGAGAACTTGGTGAGCTTCTGACAACGGTTGCTCCTGAGTCTATAGATCAGTTAAAGGAACTGTCATCTTAAGAATATCGTCTTTCTCTCCACATACATGCATCAGTCTTTTCTTATTCTTTCATCAGAGTTTTCTAGTTTTCCTCACATACATCTTGCAAATACTGTTTTTAATACTGTTTTTAAGAAGTCTTAATGGTGAAGAAACACATTTGTACTGGAAAATAATAGAAATAATATCACTGTCCCCAAGTTTCAGCACTATTCTCCCTTTGAAGCGAGTTAACCTTCTCAATAAAGAATAGCAATGCCCCCATCATGACAGCAGCTGGAAAGCATGGCTCCGAGACTGTTCACACTCCCCCCCTCAGAGCTAGAGCTTCATGCTCCCTGGCCCTACAGTCTGCCCTCTGCGACTGCTCAGCCAATAGAGCACAAAGGTGAGCCGATGCGTGCTTCCAGGCTCAGGCCTTTAAAAACCAGCAGTTTCCACTTCCTATCTCTCAGAACACCGTTTCCTGGGATATGCATCCTCGCAAACCAGCCACCGTATTAGGAGGATACCCACACTGGCCACAGAGACCTACCAGAGGAACAGGCAGCACCCCCCTGGCCAGCTGGGAGGGCACTGGTGGGTCATCCAGGGACACCACATGTGGCAGAGAAGCTCCCCTGATTTGTGAGCAAAACAAATGGTTGCTGTTGTTTTAAGCAGGTGAGTATTGGGGTAGTTTGTGTCTAATGACAGGCAGCAAAAACATCCCTATAAATATTTGAATATGGCTTTATAAACGTTAAAACTGAACCAGTAACTTCAAAGGACCAGAAATGATTGGCTGGACTTTTAGGCAAAGTACAATTCTTAATCCTAAGGAATTAAGAAATCAATTAACGCTCAGCCTTTTCATTAAACCCAACTATGTTTGCTGACAATTTATTGAAAAACTAGAAACCCGATGCATGAAGACTCATGCGAGAGTGGGCCTCCCTTCCCCTGGCTGCCGCAGCTCCTTCGCGCTGGCAGAGCTGCCTCTCCCCTCAGGCTCGGGGCCGCCTTTCTGTCCAGAGGCCCGGAGCAGCTGGGGCGGTGTGGCACGCCTGTGTCATCGCCACGGCTCTGATGCAA